GCAGTGGCAACAGAAGCAACGAGCACCAACAACACCGTATCTGCCTGCTTGCTCAATGCGACAGAGACATAAAGCCATTGATTCACTAGATCAAAGGTTCAAATCCTGTCGGTTACAATATCGTTAGGAATTGATAGGTCTGAAGGCAAAGGACGAGCAAACAACGACGCCATGGGGTGTACTGTGCACTCTCTCCCTTTCACACTCCGAAGAACAGCAGAATCTCCGACTACTAAAAGCAATTCTCAATCTGAAAAACATAAATCAACAAAAAGATGTCTCATTTGCAGTCTTAGTGCAGAAAATCACATAAAACTTGTCACTCCAATTCTTGTAGAGCGTGCCAAGGCAAAGAGAAGTGCAAAAAGCAATAAAAGGAGAGCTGATACGCTATACACTGTAAATGTTCCCAAATCTAGTTAAGAGGTACAGCTGCATCCAGGATACCCCGAACAGAGGCCGAGGATAAGGTAAATTTGCCTATCTGTGGCCTCAGAGAGTCAGGCTTAAGCATTGTAAACATTTTTTGGGGCTATCTTTTTGGCCATCAACATGTTGCAACATTTGGAAAAGAGTACTCTCTCTCTCTCTCTCTCTCTCTCTCTCTCTCTCTCTCTCTCTCTCACACACACACACACACACACACACACACACACACAAACAAACAAACAAACAAATAAACAAACAAACAAACAAAGCAAAAAACAATCAGACATATGGGGTCTGCATTTGGTTACACAGTTTAGAACTATAGTTTGCCAGTTGCACCACATGAAACGACATTGCCTCATGCAACAATCACGGGATATCACGAGCTCCACAGTGGTCAGTGCGGTGCACATACTGATGACCATCAATAAGTTCAATCTTCCATGATGCCACGGTGCATTCAATTAAAACCAGTGCTTCCTCAATTGCCAGTGCAAAGCAAGCTCAGTTATTGCAATGGGGTCGATCTGCAATGAGGCTCCACTAGCGGTGACCTCTGCGGCAACAGAGCTTCATAGCCGTCAGCTAGAATTGCCAGAGCGGCAACAAGTTTTTTTTTTTCAGCCACAATGAGTTCAACCACAGAGCAGGTTCAACTGCAATGCGCTAAACCGTAAGCCCTCTGCCACCGTGAAGTCCCTTAGTCGTGACCTGCACTGTGTGAGTTTGCTCAACAGCAATACGAGTTTTGCAAGAGTTACGACTCCACGAAAAGTGCCAGAATGTTTCGCCAGACTTGCACCGCCTCATCAGGAGGTAAACCCTGACAGTCTGCCCAAGATCCCAAGATGCATTTGCCTGATGTATAAGGACTGCCCACATCGCCCAGAGTTAGCAATAGCGCGGACAAAAGTGGTCGACTTAACCCACACCAACCCTGCAATCCTCGCAGACTGTCGGTTTGAACCCCTGACAATCCTCACAGACTGTCGGTTCGAACCCCAGACAATCCTCGCAAACTGTCCCCCCCCTCGCAGACTGTCAGTTCGAACCCCTGACTGTCGGTTCATGCGCCTGACAACCAAAGCAAGTCTGAGAGTCTGTGTTGTACGGAAAGATTTGATAGGTTCGAACCCCTGACTGTCGCTTCGAACCCCTGACTGTCGGTTCAAACCCCTGACTGTCAGTTCGAACCCCTGACAACCACAGTGAGGGGGTTCGAACCCCTGACAACCACAGTGAGGGGGTTCAAACCCCTGACTGTCGGTTCAAACGACTGACAACCCTGCAATCCTCGCAGACTGTCGGCTCGAACCCCTGACAAGAGTGGCAGCAAGTCTGCGAGTCTGTGTTGTGTGCGTAAAGATTCTATAGGGGAATCGTGTGTTGCCTGCTAACTGTCAGAATCCCTGCAACATTTTTGAAGCTCGTCAATTACATATAGCGATTGTGTGTTTGATAGATTCTTCAGATATTCCAAGCAAATTACAACAAAGAATTCATTAACCCATCCCTCTGAATGATGATTCTTTAGAGTTTACATATTCTTTTTTGTCATTTCATTACTCAAGTAGGCAATTACTCTCGTATCGTATCGTATAATGAGACTTTTTCTTCAAATTAGTTTGGAAAGTGCTTGTTTTTCATTTTCATACATTTGTTACAGCATTTTTGTTGTTTTTGTTGTACATCACAATCACTCCTTTTTGTTGTTTTTGTTGTACATCACAATCACAATCCCCCCCCCCCCCTTTCCCCCCCCCCCCTTTTTTCCCTTTTTTTTTCTCTCTCTCTCTCTCTCTCTCTCTCTCTCTCTCTCTCTCTCTCTCTCTCTCTCTCTCTCTCTCTCTGTCTCTCTGTCTCTTACTCTCGTATCGTATCGTATAATGAGACTTTT